TGAAAGGAAAAAAACACACAAGGAAACAATCTTTTTCGGTTTTTTACCCAGAGGGGACATTTTGGGTTGCGTTTGGATTTTGCATTTTGGGGAGGGTGGGGGGGTGGGGGGGTGTTTTTGTTTTCTTTGCAAAGTAACAAAATTTGCACAAAACTGAAAAGGAGAACAAAATGGTTTACTTTTTTTTTTAAGCTAGAGAAAGGGGGAAATAGGAAGAAAATTCCAATCTTTTCATCACGAGAAAAAAATATCAGCCAAAAGAAGAAGATTTTCAACACTGTGTTTGGAAAATTTCTAAGAATAGCAAAAGTGTAGCTATATTAACTATACTTTCTTAGCTTTATACAAACATTTCTAAAACATGAATGAATACCAGAGGGAATATTTTTATTAACAAAAAATTAAAACACAAGCTTTTAATACCTATACCAGGAAAAACAGTTCATTTCTTTAAACAGCAGTTTGGAAACCAGAAAGAAACAAACAAAAAAAAAATTAGTTACTTTCCTATGGATTTAAATTTTGGAGTTAAAATCTCTTGATGGCTTCTAGGGAAGCCTTAGGTCTGTAGTAATTCTCAGGAAACTGCATTGCTGACTACAGCACAAAACAATTCAAATTGTGCTGATTCGGTAGGCAGAGCCTTTGAAACCAGTGGAGCTTGTGGAGGAGTCAGAATCTTAAGAAATGCCAATATTATTTCAAGGGGGAGGGGGGGGGGAGAGAGAAAAAAGCTCTATTTCCAAAAGGAGCAAAACTGGAAGGTAATTAAACTCAGCAGCATCCTAGAAGCCAACACAAGGCTTAACTTCTGAGTTCAGCTTGGACTGAAGCTCATGGTTGAAAGCTCATATGGGCTTTTCCTAGCAGAGGAATAGTCAAAGCGTGGTCCAGCAGGGCTGTAGCCTGGATATACTCTAATTTTGAGTGTGAAGATACAGCATGGAGACCATGCAGTGATTTGGTAAAGTGTGAAGAGTTAGGAGCAGAGCGGTGGTTTGCACAGTTATTTCTGAGGGCCTCACCTCTATGTTAACAATCTGGATCAGCCCACCTTGTACAAATCGGGTTTAGCCCTGGCAGACCGTCAGTGTTGCCCAGGGCTGGGCAAGGGCTGGCTGCCCCTGTCAAAAAGCATGAAGCATGTCTGCTCTCGGGTCTCGTGTTTGGAGTAAGAAAAACTATTTTGAGAAGGGAAGAAAAACACAAAACCTCTTCTTCTACCTCTCTCTCCTTATGGTGCCCTGTTATGAAGGAAGGTTGGTTGAGTACCAAGACCCAAGACATGCTCTGGTACATTAACACAGCTGAAAACATTATCAGCCATGGATACTGATGCCTTAACCTATGCTGCTTGAGCAGAAGTCACTTTGTAAATGTCTAATAAAGGACATGATGGACTTATTTTTAATGAGATAACCAAGAAATGGGATTTACTTCATATTTTAAGAAATTAGACTATATCAAATGTGTAATAAAAATATTTTCTATAGGTTTTTAAAATATATACATATATAAACTACCTTAATTTTTAATGCCCTGTTGATATTGATGTGGTCTCTACAGTACCTAAGTGTAAATAAGTGAGGCTGCCCAGCAACCTCCATTATACCTCAAACAGTGATTACAAAACTTGAAGCCTTGTCCACATTGTAAATTAAACCTGCTTGAAAACGGGATCTGAAATTGTCTGCTGGGCCTGATGCAGCACCCACTAATAGTCAGGCTAAGTCCCCTCCTGACTGCAGGAGGTGGATTAGGTCCTAGACACCGTCCCGAAATTATGTGGTTTCCAACCCTGTTAGCTGGGCAATGATAAAGGCACCTGAGGGAGTTACTGAGACCCTTGAGGCACTTCCTGGTAAAATAAAAAATATTAGATATTTTATTTAGAATATTTAGGGATATTTAAAACAGTCTTAGACAATTTGGGCACATCTATACTACATTTTGAAGAGGGGCCCAAACTGAATGTGTGTCCCAGACATAGCCTTTGCTCAAACACTGGATGTAGACTTTAGTAAAGCTAAAGGGAGTATGAGGGCTTGGGGGTGATGATGGAGCAAAGAGCATTCATGCCTGCATCCTTCCCACAGCATCCATCTCCATATATCTCCCTGGCTTTGCTTACTCAGCCCATGTGGAGGAGGTAAGTTGGCAAGAAGGGCTCCTGTGTCAAGTGCCTGCAATGGCCCATGGGGCTGAACACTTTCATCAAAGACAACCTAAAACTGGTGATGGAGGGGGGTGAGGGTGGAGAAGCACAGATTACTGTCTGGCCCTGTGTCTGCTGAGGACAGCAAGGACATGGCTTTGGGCTGTGCCTCCAACACACAGCCAAATCCGGTTTGCATTCCTGTTAGCACTGTGTGTTAGCACTATTCCATCTAGCACTGTGTCTAAAGCAAGTTCAGATTCATTTTCCATGCAAGGTTTGAAGCACAGTGTAGACAAGGTGTGAGGGCCAGATCCTGATCTAATGCAGGCAAAATTCGCCATTATCATTGGCCTGAGCACTTACCCTTGCATTATACTTTAAGGTAGGTAGCATGGGAGTTCTCCTGCTTCAAAGAGTTAATATAGGGGATTTGACCACCTGCAGAAGAAAGTTTCTCGCTGAGCTTTCGGTTCATCTGCTCTACGTGCCTTGTGTTTTTCCTGGCTTGCCGGAGAGACCTCTTGACTTTCTTCACCCGATCTCGCAGCTGCTTGTTGCGCTTCTCCAGCGTCGCCACCTTTTGCTGCAGCTTCTTCACTCTGTCCTCCTCCTCAAACAGGGCTTTCTGGACTGAGGAGCACATGAGCTGAGGGGACAGCAGAAACAAAATAGGAACAGGTGAACTTTACACAAAAACTTATTAAAGCAAGGGTTAATTCAGGTGTTCCTTGAAACACCTCACAACTCTTCAAAAGAAGAATGCTTTTTCTGAAGTTCTCCTTTTTTTTTACACCTTTTCTACTAAAATCTTCTCTTTCACTTCTATATTCATATAAAACCCAAAACTATAGATCTTAATGATACTAGTGATTCACAATTACTTTTATGAGCTGTTTTGACAAACCTGTCCAGCCTACTGAGGCTATGTTGAATTTGTGGAGGAAGGCTGCACTGTTTCTGGTATCAAACTGGAATTCAGGCCAAAGGGCATCACTATTCATAGAATCATAGAATCTTTCAAGTTGGAAGGGACCCATAAGGATCATCGAGTCCAATTCCCTGCTCCTCACAGGGCTACCTAAAAGTAAACCATACAACTAAGAGCATCGTCCAAACACTCCATGCACTCTGACAGGCTTCGTGCTGTGACCACTTCCCCGGGCAGCCTGTTCCAGTGACCAACCACCCTCCCAGTGAAGAACCTTTTCCTAATGTCCAACCTGAACTTCCCCTGACGCAGCTTCATTCCATTGCCTCATGTTCTATCATTTCCTATTGGAAAACTCTAAATGTGATTCAGCTTAGCAGCCCTTCAGAAACTCCAGATTTTAACGTGAGCCTGCCCTTTGCTCTTTATGTCAACATGTGAAATAAGGACAGCACCTACAAAACACAGAACGGGTTGGTTTTGCCTTTTCAATAACTGAATTGTCTTAAATATTTCATTATATGGATTTTTTTCAGATTAAATCCTAAAGGCTAAAATCTCAGCAGTTTCTAGGGGCATTCAAGATCCCACAACTTTAACAAAAGTGATTTTTTGGGGGGCGGTCATTGGCTGAAAATTGCCCCTCCCATTCTACCCATTACCAATGTATTGCAATATTGTCCCCACTAGAGACATCAAGCTCTTGATGTCCACTCATGCCTGTGGCTCTTAGGCAAAAAAAAAAAGGAGCTTCAAAGGTGCTGCACCCAAGGCGTCACTAGAAGAGCAGCTCACAGGCAAATCCCCTGGGTTGGATGATGGTCCAAATGCGAATGATCTGTTGGACCACTGTTCTTCCTCTACTACCTCCTCCTAGGATGACCCAGAGGTCTATCTCATCTCAGCTATACGTGATTGCCACATCTACGGTCTCCTATTTCTGACTTGCTTCCTGTTTGTAGGTGCACCAATAGGAATGGGATCAGAAACACCAGCTAAAGGCTGCCGACTAGTTTCAGTGCAAGGGAGTTGTGCTCCTGACGCACAGTGTTACGTGGGACGGGATTCGGCTGTCTTCTCTTAAGCAGCTAAAAGTGAGCCACACATCTGGGCTCTTCTCTTTTGGTTTCCCCTGTAATGGCTGCAGGGAGAGACAACCTTCAAGAGTGGGAGGAATCACCCTCTTGAACACAACTCTCTCGTTTCACTGGCTACAAAAGCATCAAGTTCCATGTTTTCTACCTGGGCAACATTTTCCAAGCAGAAAAAGAGGTGCCCGGGGCTCAAGGACAGCCCCACCATAAAGTTTCTGGTCTAGAGGAGCCACCATGGAAACCTATTTCTGCCCAGGGTGATGTCTCTCCTTCCTTTCTTTTTCCTTCAAAAAGCATCCTGAGATGTTCTATTGTGCAAGTGGGACTTTCAGCTGATTGCTGCACTGGTGCGCTGTGAGGAAAGGCAATGTCTTCTGCTGGATTTATCTCCTATATGCATCTAGATTTTTTTTTTATGTGTGTCAAGCACTCCTGGAGCCTGGATGGGCTTTCTCTGGCAGAACATTTGGAACAGACAGGGAATCTAAATAAACAAGTAAATCCTCACTGTGATGATGAAGGATTACATGTTTCTTTCCATCTTACTTTGTAGTATTTTCAACAACTGAAAGTAGGGGAGGGAGCCTGCTTTGATGATTAACATGTCATTTGCTTTGGAAACCCCCAGCAGCCGAAAACCATGGCCAGTCAACACAAACACAGCAACTGCTTCCAGTCACCGTAAGCCCTTGTTTGTGCAAAACCACTGCAGGGCTTCACTAAAAGGCAAATGCTTGCCCTGACTGTCCTCTCATTAGGGCTCTTTTATAAATGCATGCTAGGGAGACTGGGAGCTTACAGATAGAGGGCCAGAAATTGGACTGAAGAGGAGGGAATTTGGTTTTGATCACAGCTCATTCCAAGTGCTATTTGAAAACAGCCAGCACCTCCTGGCTTTTGTGTTTGCCAAACCCTTGCAAAACTTCAAGCAGAACACTTCTTGAATTCAAATCTCTGCGAAGGAGAGCACTGAGTTAGGAAAAGACGTTTGTTGGGAAGACAGGAGATGGAAACTCTACTTCATTTCTTGCATTTTCCATCGATGCAGTGATAGGCATGGCACATGACAGAGTCCAATGCAGAGGAACAAACAATTCATGCAGCTGATGTGTGAGGTTGTGCGAACTCAGCCGTGTCTCATCTCTCTGGGCTGGCCGGTGGGAGAATGGTAATGTCTGATGGCAGACATCAGGGATGGCATTAGCCTCATTCCAGAGGCACCCCCAAACCTTTTGAGGCTGGTCCTCTGTCAGCAGAGGTAGTCCAGCTCTACAGAGCCACTCAGAAACTTCTCAAACACCATCAAAAAGCTAGCCACCTCATTTGCTTATGCCGTTCCTCTTCCAGGTCCTCACTCTCCAGTCTGAAACCCACAGTTTAGTGCTTAAATTACCTGGAGATTTCCAGAGCAATCACTGGAACAACACAGCTATAAAACCTGAGGTACTGTCAGACATGCACAGCTTTGCTTACCAACAGGGCAGGTGATAGGAAGAGCCCAGCTTGATAACTGGATGCCTGCCTGCAATCGCAGGACTACCAGCTGAAAAATAAACTCTTTGCTCCTTCTGCATGGGGAAAAATAACAAGGTGGAGTCCTCACATTCTCACCAGCTGGTTACAAACAGCATTTTTCATAGAGCTCTGCAGTGAGGGTGATGTTTAAAAAGTGAGTGCTGTCCTACCCTTGCTCTTACTGCTAGGGCTGCAGTTCACATGGGTGCAACCAAGTTATTTTTAAACCGGTGCTGAGAACTGTGTAACTGCGACAGCTAGGAGCTCAGCACAGCCTGTATAGCTAACCCAGCTGCTGAACAAATGGGTGAGAAGTTAACCAGCCCTCGGTCCGTGTTGCTACTTGAATACTTCTTGTTTACAGCCAGATAAGATATCCCTGCATTGCACAGTCGTTCCTATGGAGCATATCTACAGACAGGAATTTCACACCCCGTTTTGTCTGATCTCATCCACCCATAAATGTGCACACTTTGCACTCGATGACCATCAAGATCAGACCTTAGTCCAAAGGCATTGCTAAAAGCTACAGAGAACTGGATTTTGTTTCTGGGAATGGCCTGTGCTCCCATTCCCCACCACAGCTTGCCGTGTCAGGCACATTAGAGAAGGTAGATTTTTTTTTTTTTTAATGCAATATTTAAGGGATAACGAAATCTCCATCTAGCAAGGTAAGTCACTGAGGACCCAGATCCATTTGGTGCCACTGAAGGAAAGGACAGGAAAGGATGGATAGCTGACAACTCCTATTCCCACAAGGTATCAACAGCAGACAGTTTAGCAACAGCTCTGAAATGCTGCCCTTAGCATGGCATACATGCCCACAGACCTGGGAAATGGAGAGAAGGACCAGGAAATGCCTCCTCAGAAAAACTTACGGGTTACTTTCCCAGGTTTCCTTCAAAAGTTACGTGCTCTAGTGATCCACAGTTCAGAAGAGTTGTTTGTTCTGGACATCTCTCTGCATGTCTGCTTGTTCCACAGTTTTTTAGCAAAGCATCTTCAGCAGTGGTTAAACTCGAGTCCAGAGCAATACCAGGAGATGTAACAAGAAAGGTAGCACAACAAGAACCATACAGCTCCTTAGGATTCATCCCAGACAGCCTACAGCTGTGAAACTCCAAGTCAAATATATTTGAATACTTGTCTGAAACATCCTGTCACAAATACACCCAGTTTTAAGTTTCACCACATCCAGATGATTTACAAAATCTGTCCATCTGCCAAACAAATCAGCACTGTAACAAATCAAACTGATTTTCTGAGCGTCACATTACAGGCATGCGAGCCCTTTACCAAACACCCTGAATTGATGTATATATATACATTTGTCTGACTGACAGACACACACATCTGCCTTTTATAAGCTTCATTAGAATGGGACAGCGGCTAGGAAATGCCCCATGGATAAAGGTGCAATGGTAGTGCTCATCCACCACCAATTGTCCATAAATGGCTGAAGTTAGCATTACAGAGCTCAAGCCACTCAAACCCCAGCAGTGGCACCCAAGTCTTGCCCTTCATTTACCAAAGGGAGAGAAGCTGAGTTCTAGCTAGCTCCTCATGCATTCTCCCTACGGGCGGCACAGCTAAAAAGCACTGGAGCTCCATTACCCAAAAGTCTTTCATTTCAGCTCTCCTAAAAATATCTTTCACATCAGACAGTATTTTTGGACATTTAGATATAGGGTGTCATCAGGCAAGGTGACTGTAGGAATGTCTTAAATGTGTGACAGGAAGACCTGATCTCTGCATGGACACGATGTGTTTTCGAAGAATTGGGGATGGGTCACTTTAGTTTCTTGCCCTCAAATCTTCCTCTTGACCCACACTGCTAACTGGAGCAGTGTCTAGCTGGGATATTCCCTCAGCATCCCAGACCCAGCATCACCCCACCACAACCTCCTGGGAGCGTTCGGTGGAAGAAATGAGAGCGTCTCTCTCTGGAAATGCATCCCAAACACTGCAGGTTGGGAAGCACAGCTCCTGCTCTGCTGCGGAGCCTCCTCTGCACTGCATCCCAGTGAGCTCACCACATCCTCGCACTGCTCTCCTCTCGCCCTTCCCTGCTACAAATCTGCTCCTCAGAAAAGGTAAAAACTGTCCATT